TGTACAAAATTTCGTTATCTCAACACAGGAGGTTTCAGAAATATTCACAACAAACCATCATCTCGGGCCCTCTTTCAGATGGCTGTAACTCCCCAGGGGGCAATTTCTGGGATCATGTTCCTATATGAACTTTTTTTACTATTTTTGGTCCTAGAATCTGTGGTTCAAATCATTCTATGTAATTTCGGGACACGCTGTATAGTAAAGTTTGAAAAAATGTTTTTCTGTGACGGGAAAAAAGTTTGGCGTTTCATCTTTGTTGGCAGGTTATGAAATGTCACTTTTTATAAATTACTTTTTTCCCGTGGGAAAAAAGTGAGTACTTTTTTCCCGGATATATATCACATATATATACTCTGTTAATGGCTTTTGTTGTGCTAGATTTCCGAAAAATGAGTCAATAATACCGTCTCCGAGAAAGAACTGCAAGTCCTTTTATCTTCCATTCGACTTCGCGGTTTTGTATATTACTAAACAACTACTGAATTCGCAATTTTTCAAAATCAAATCACAGAATTGAACTGACAGAAGTGACATCAGATATTTGATTACTTCAAAAGAATGATAAAGATGCCTATAAAACGCAGGTGTCCTTGCTGTTAAAAATTTCACGTCGATAATTTTCAGATTTCGAAATAATGTAATATCTTCTCAATATTGATTCGTCCTTCCTTCTGTCACAGAAAAAAATAGTGTATTATACACGGGAAAAATATTAGATTTCAGCTCACGGTTTTTTCTCTCCCTCCGCTACTCGTCGGGAGACAACACAACCTGGAGCTAAAATCTAATACTATTGTATTGTATAATAAATAACTATTGGGAAAAAAACTCACGACACGTCGTTTGTCTTTTAGAGATGTGCATTTGTTGGTCTACTCATATTTTCGATGAGGTCATCATTATAAATTACAGTTGAAGGTATATTATCACAATAGGGTATTGCCATTTAAAAAAATTATAATGACGTCATATATAGAACAGTGACGTATCTAAGGTTTTTTCCCCACTGGCCATAATATCAAACTTTCAGCTCAACTCATTTGAGCACATGATGAAAAAATATCAGGATACGTCTATGCTTTTCTTACTCAACAGAAATTCGATCTTAAGAAATCCAGGGGCAATTTTGACGTCTTCAGTTACACCGGATCGAGGTCTTATTCTCTACAAACAATTGAACGTGATGGATTATTTTCGGGTAATGAAGGGTGACGAGGGCTAAATGAAGTGAACATTTGAAAGCGGGGTCGAACGCCATACAGGGATTATTGATATTTCCAGAGGGCTAATTATATTCCAATAATACTAGTGAAGAGCATGCTTATTATACGCAATTCTGTGGTAAATACCTATTATATGAAACCTACCTCTATGAAATTACTTTTCAGCTTTGAGTTTTGGTTATTACTTCAGTCAATGAACGCCCAATAAGAGGGTGTAGTTGACATGGAAGATGATAGATTTTTTGATACTATAGTGTTTGGAGTATATAGGAATTAAAAATTCCAAAAGTTCCTGGACTTACAAGGTGAGCCAAGTGCAGGCGGCGACGTAGAAGGTCCCTTTTTTGATTAATCGTTCATATCTCAAAAACGGTATGTTACAACAGAAAACTCACTTTATTCAAAATTGTAGCTGATGGAATTTTATACAAAATTGTTTCTGTAGGTTTTCTCCCTATCTTTCATAGTTTTCGAGAAATTCGCTAGTGAATCATGTAAATTTTCAATATATCACCCGAGATATCACCAGTCTTCGACGAAGAAGTCGCAAATAGGGATACAATTACCTACAAAATATTTGGTCACAATGTATTTTATATATACAGTATGATGCAAATGTATGGAATAAATTCATTATTTCAGAAATGGACGACATTTGATGAAATTCCGAAAACACGTGAGTTTTAATTTTTTAAACCTCATCTCATGACATTCATATGAGAGATGTTACGTCACCGGTGTTGGAGTAATGACGTAATGGACGGTTTTTTTAAATACGAACAGGGGTCATGTGACACCTCGTTTGAAAGGTCTACTGATCGTCTATCCAATAGTCAAAATTCTGCAAAAGAAGATTGAAATTAAAATGGATTATCATTTGGTTAACTGAATCTTGCAGAGATCTTCTACTGAGAATTGAACATCGAAGGGTCGTCTAGTTGAAAAAATACATCGATAAAAAAGTTATGAACTCTACTTTTTGGATTTTTTTCGGAAGTCGTCTTGTTTTGAAATGAATTTATTCCATACATTTGCATCATACTGTATATGCATATATACAGTATGTCTCAGTTCTGATGAAAGCACCCCTAGGATTCTGGAATTTGCAGGAGCGGCAGAAATACCGAAAATACACACTATGGCCGAGTAGAGGCATTTTCGGTGATCTACACACACTGTCACTTTTCAAAAATTACTTTTTTCCTGTGACGGGAAAAAAGTTAGGCATCTCATCTCTGTTGGCAGGTTATAAAATGTCACTTTTCATAAATTACTTTTTTCCCGTGGGAAAAAAATGAGTACTTTTTTCCCGGATATATATCACATATATATACTCTGTTGATGGCTTTTGTTGTGCTAGAGTTCCGAAAAATGAGTCAATAATACCGTCTCCGAGAAAGAACTGCAAGTCCTTTCATCTTCCATTCGACTTCGCGGTTTCGTATATTACTAAACAACTACTGAATTCGCAATTTTTTAAAATCAAATCACAGAATTGAACTGACAGAAGTGACATCAGATATTTGACTACTTCAAAAGAATGATGAAGATGCCTATAAAACGCAGGTGTCCCTACTGTTAAAAACTTTAAATTTCACGTCGATAATTTTCAGATCTCGAAATAATGTAATATCTTCTCAATATTGATTCGTCTTTCCTTCTGTCACAGAAAAAAATAGTGTATTATACACGGGAAAAATATTAGATTTTAGCTCACGGTTTTTTGTCTCCCTCCGCTACGCGTCGGGAGACAACACAACCTGGAGCTAAAATCTACTACTTTTTTCCCTTGTATAATAAATAACTATTTTCCTGTGGGAAAAAAGTGAGTACTTTTTTCCGAGATATATATCACAAATACAGTATGATGCAGATGTATGGAATAAATTCATTTCAAAAGAAGACGACTTTCGAGAAGAAACCAAAAACTAGAGTTTAGAACTTTTTCAATTGATGAATTTTTTTAACTAGTAGAATCTTCGATATTCAATTCTCAGTAGAAGACCTTTGCAAGATTCAGGTAATCAAATGATAATCCATTTTAATTTCGATCTTCTTAGAAAAAATTTCGACTGTTGGATAGACGTTCAGTAGACCTTTCAAACGAGGTGTCACATGACCCCTGTTTGTATTTGAAAAAATCATCCATTACGTCATTACTCCAACACCGGTGACGTAACATCTCTCATATGATATCATGAGATGAGGCTTCAAAAATTAAAACTCACGTGTTTTTGTAATTTTTTCAAATGTCGCCCATTTCTGAAATAATGAATTTATTCCATACATTTGCATCATACTGTATATACACTGTTGATGGCATTTGTTGTGCTATAGTTCCGAAAAATTAGTCAATAATACCGTCTCCGAGAAAGAACTGCAAGTCCTTTTATCTTCCATTCGACTTCGCGGTTACGTATATTACTAAACAACCTCTAAATCCGCAATTTTTTGAAATCGAATCACAGAATTAGACTGACAGAAGTGACATCAGATATTTGATTACTTCATGCAAAAGAATGATGAAGATGCCTACAACGCAGGTGTCCCTACTGTTAAAAATTTAAAATTTCACGTCGATACTTTTCAGATTTCAAAATAATGTGATATCTTCTCAATATTTATTCGTCCTTTCTTCTGTCACAGAAAAAAATAGTGTATTATACACGGGAAAAATATTAGATTTTTGCTCACGGTTTTTTGTCTCCCTCCGCTCCGCTCTCCCTTACACAAATAGCTCTTTTCTGCAACCGACACAAAAGTCGTCCATTTTGATACCAAAATTAGCTCCCAAATTGACGTTTCTATTACTGACACAAAAATAGGTATATTGCTAGGCAACATATTTAGCTCCTAGGAGCTAAAGTTGAATTTTAGTTCCTAGGAGCTAAAGTTGAACTTTAGCTACTAGGAACTAAAAAGGATCTACTGGACGTCATCAAGAATAAACAACATTGTGACGGTTGGTTATTTGGGTTGAGACGCATACCTGATTTGTTCCCGATTTCAGCAGATTTGCCATTTCATACCCATGCTGAAGATATAAATACACATTATCATAGTTTAGTATTGGAATTATAAACATCTCAGTTAAGTATTTTTGTTTTGATCAGAGAAGCCTTCAAGATTCAAATACTTGCTTGATCTGTATTTCATTCGTTATTCTCGGGATGGATAACTTGGTTTTGAATAATCACGGCAAGCAATAGTTTTTTTGTCTCAAACAACGATATTGTTTAGCTTCATTTGATTATCAAGTCAAACACAGTGTAGTATGGAGAGGAATAAATAATCACCGATAATCACTATTATCATTGTTGATATGCTCACTAACCTAACATTTTCCACGTCTTGTTCCTATAGCTGGCACTCGCGCGGTATTTGCCATTAGAGCACCTGGTCCATACACAAATATGTCACTCTGTGGTTGTATTTTATATTGAAACTACAATTCGAACATCCTAGAAAACCTAACCTGCTGTTAATGCAGGTAGAATATTCTCACCACATGGATTATTTGTCAATATTTGTTGCATTGCATACATATGGCACGGCATTGGTGGTTACTTCACATGTTTATTTGAGTTAATTGTTTCGGTTGCAGAAAAAATAGCATGTTTCATTCGGATCAAAAGTGACTTTGTTCGACTCGCAAATTTTGCTTCCGCTCGGCTTCGCTAAACGCTCTGCCTCGCAAATGCAAAATTCGCTTGTCAAACAAAGTGTCACTTTTGATCCTAATAAAACAATCTACTATTCTCCACGTTTTTCCAGATCGGCAGAGCCACCGTAAGAGAATCCCGCTCGCTCCGTCTCGTCCACGACGTGCATCTCGCCTCCAACTCCGACGACTCCCCCGCCTCCCACGACCCCCTGCTGGTGGTGGGCCACGGCCGCACGTACGCCGTGTCGGAAACCTCCCCCAAGCGCGCCATCATGGGGGCGGTGCACAAGGCCGTCCTCGGCAGGTCCAAGAGCGCCGGCTCCACCGCCACCGACGGGGACGAGGAGCAGATCTACTGGCTGCGGCCGGCCCTGGTGCCCAGCCAGAACAGCCCCGATGGATCGAATTACTTTTGCTGGTTCAAGAAGAAGCCCCGGCAGAAGGTCACTTTCGACGAGGCTATCAGTACGTCGACGAATCGGTAACATGGCTTTCGTTAACTATAGGTGTTTTTTTTAGAAATTTGTGTGTGTGTATATTTTGTATTTATATTAGTGTGCAATTTGGCTTGCGTTTAGTTTTTGTATTGTATTTGCATTTTGGAATTCTCAACAACCACGTTCTGGCGATCTAAACCCCACGTTGGGCGCCAAAAAAATAGTGTTTACTTCCATACTACCCTACGTTGGGCGCCAAAAAAGTACTGTTCACTTCTATAGGGTGCTTATGCATAGACATATAAAAAGAGGGGAGACGAAATTGTTTCGTTCTTACCAAAAAACGATGACAAATTTCTGCGGATTGCCCTAGATCTACCGCCTTTCTTTTAAAACGAGGGAAGCATTAATCATACATTAATTATGTGATACGAATTTTCCATATATATTCTGTATTTTTGTTTCCTGATTGAAGTATGTGAATTCTGCGATTGAAATAATTCAAATTTTCTACGAGTGGCGCATAATATGTTTATTAAAGTCATTCATGTATGACAGTGTTGTTGTTACCATTTTAGGTCTTTTTTGTTTCAATTGATCTTCATCACATTTTTAACAGGTATAATGGCATTGTCATTGTACTAGAAGTGTGTTGCCCTTCGCTCAATCTACGCGACCGGTGAAGAAAAGTGTGAACATTGACGCACAGTTTAAAGCGTTGCCATTTTTTTAAGCCATCTCTTTCTAACTTGTTCGAAACTTTGAGAGTATGTTTGATTGTAAAATAAAGTGTTTTATGAATGAGATGTTATGTCTCCCTCTTTTCATATGTCTATGAAAATATGCTTCACTGGCAGGAAAATAAGCAGAGTTTTTGTGTATTAAGTGCCGTATCTTTCCATTTTCCTAGAGAATGAGAAATCTAGGAAAGAGCTGGAAAACAGATCAATTCTCCGCAGTTCAAAGTAATAAAATACCTATCTCCTGTACCTATCCTCCCTAGGAACGCACGATGTTCTTTGAACATTATAGGGATTTCCTTTCGTGCGCTCCAAGCGATAAAAAAAATAAATAGAAAAACTCCTCTAGTCGAATTCGATGGCTAAAAGCTACTCCTCAACAAAACTTTATTGTATTAACTCGGTCCTAACTTGATGGATATCCATCGTAAATGTTATTTATGAGTTGAGCAAATAGAACATGGTATTCACTACTGAAAACTGAACATGAAAATGGTAGATACAAGATCAATTAATGAAAACATCCTATAGCTCATTTGTAGACTAGAATCACTCATTCATATGCCAACATCAGTATGACACTGAAAAGTGTCAAACTATAAGCAGCACAACTTCCAAAGAGAGATATTTTGCATTTTTATGTTGAGAACGGGAGCAGATTCGGTCCCGAAACGTCCAAAGATAAGTAAAAATTCGATATTTTTTCAATATATCTATATTTCTTTCCTTCAAACATTTTTCAAACAAATCGTCACTGACAAGCTACTGGATTTTTCTTTTAGGCTCCCTGATAGGAAAATTTGTTGAACGCAGTGACATTTTGGGGCAAATCCTTTGATTTGTCCCACTACAAAAATATTGAAATAATATGCATATTTTTATTTCATAGAAAGAAAGAGAAAATCCCAAAAAATCAAGTTAAATGTTAATCTCCAGCTATGAGAACCACCATAAACGTTGAAAATTCGAGTGCAATAATATATAGTTTTTGAAAACGATGAAATAATTCCTGACGTCACCATCTCAAATTGGGCGCCAAATAAAATTCAACTGAACTTTAAACTTGACGGAAAACTCCATAAACATACTCGCGCTAACGATTTCGTTATGAAATGACGGTATACCTAACATTCCAGTTATGCCATAAAGAATAAATCTTGGCGATAAAACCTTTTTACGATCCCAGTCCACATTAATATTCGTTGCTCTGGAGATTTTCATATAAAAATGGGAATGCAAATATGGCCGAATGTGCCAGCACTTTAAAGTTGAACAGGTGTGGAGCATATAAAGGATTTATCTTCAGTGGAGAGAATGTCATTCATATTCACTATATTGTAGATATTAACTTGAAATTATTCGTTTGATGCAGGTGAAGTCTATCACACAAACGGAATTGTTGTGAAAGCAAAGCAATCGTTGGAAATTTAACTATTTGATGAAGTTCTCAGAGAGAAGAGAAAACATTCACGGAAATAAAGATGTACTGCACCGACAAAATTATTTTAGACATTTTCTATTGAATTGAGAAGTTTTGCAAAATCAACGAAATATATATCCCAAATAAGCGACTAACAACATATTTTCTGAAATATTTGAGGAGTCAACGCTTCCTAATTCCAGAATAAAATCATCCTATATGTAGGTGAATCCGCTCTTCAAAATGTATTTCACAAAGAATTCTGAATCTGATGTATACGGCCTTCATTCCCGTTCTCAAGAGATTTCAACAAAGGTAAAAATGCGGATGCGGTTGAACGCTCACAAGCTCACGTTCTTATTCAAAGTTGTTCAGGTGGAGCATTCCAACAATAGGTATATTCTTGGTAAGAATGCATTGATGTAAATATATATATGTCTCTTCTTGAACATGCAGATATACACAGCTCAACCGTGTTTTTCACAGTACAAAAGGTGAACTCGATAGAAGTAACAAAAATAGATTTTCATGCAATTTTGGTCTTCGTTTAGTTTTTTGTATTGTATTTGCATTTTGGAATTCTCTACAACTATGTTTTGGCGATCCAAACCCCACGTTGGGCGCCAAAAAAATAGTTTTTACTTCTATACTACCCTACGTTGGGCGCCAAAAAAATAGTGTTTACTTCTATACGGTCCTTATGCATAGACATTTAGAAATAGGGCAGACGAAATTTTTCAGTTTCTAGCAGAAAACGATGACAAATTTCTTTCTTCTTCTTCTCCTTTGTTCCTTAATTGAATATGTCAATTCTGCTATTAAAGTAATTTTTCCTAATTTCATTATTACATAACATTATAAAGTATCATGGAAACAACTGTGGCAACGATGTATTGGCGTGTTTACTACGAGTGAAGCATATGCTTTTCAAAGTCACTCACGTATATCAATAGTCGAAAAGAAAAAATCATTCTATATGTAGGTGAATCCGCTCTTCAAAATGAATTCTGAATCGGATATATACGGCCTTCATTCCCGTTCTCGAGAGATTTCAACAAAGGTAAAAATGTGGATGCGGTTGAACGCTCACAAGCTCACGTTCTTATTCAAAGTTGTTCAGGTAACAATAGGTATATTTCCACGAAACGATTCGTCAACAATATATATATACCGGGTGTTCCAACTCTATTTATACACGCATTTTCCCGAGAACGGGTGACAACCGTGTACAAGCGTCGTTGCCCCACCTACTCGAGTATGGCACGTGTGGCAAAAGATAATCCCCTCGGTCGGGCCGGAAAAAGGAACTCGCTCGAAGGAAGGGTTAACGCGATACGAAGCATGGCAACGTAGGTTTTTTTCTCTCTTCGTTAAAATGTTCATGCACACGGTTTGTCTATAGGAACAAAGTTCTTGCCAGAAGTGTATAATTCAAAAGACTATTGGTATTTTCGAGAGATTAAGTTGATTGTATCGAAAATACATCCCTAGATCGATCAATTCTGGGAAAAATATGTTTTTGGTTAGTGATTCACACGAGACCAACGAGACGAGACTTTCATAAAGTCTCGTCTCGTCTCGCCGATGAAATAAGAAGTCTTGTCTCGAGTCTCGTCTCGCAGCCTCTAGTCTCGTCTTGTCTCGCGTCTCGTACGAGAGTCTCGCAAATGTATCGCAATTTCGTCATGCATAATATTGTTCCAGTCCCTTACGGGATATTCACCTACTTTTTAGGTATAATGTAGAAGTATAAAGGAAGAAAAAATTACAACAAAAATAACATTATTTATTGAAAAGTAAGTACCTATATTAGGTACATACTAAAGTTATTCTTTATCATAGACTATTTAGCATAGAATGACTTGGCCGTTACTTGATGGAAATCCATGGTATATGTAAGAACTTCACAAACGATAAGATTTCCACAACATTTTTTTGGTTTGTTATGACGCAACGACGGATGAATTTAAAGTACCAGGTGGCCATGGAGCTAGTCGTAGCTTCCTTCAAATTTTGAATTGACTCGGTCGTTAGTTATAGATGGAATTCCATGGCAAATGTAAAAAAACTTCACAAACGATAAGATTTCCACAACATTTTGTGGAAATCTTATCGGTTTTTACCCAATTCATAGATTTTCAGGTAGTCATCCAATTTGCGATCTGTCGTTATTGCAGAATTGCCCTTATATTCCGTCGCCGTAAGAGAGAGAATAGTCCGTTTTCGTTTCACGCATTACGTTGTTTTACAACAATCATGGATTTTGTTTTTGAAGTATCTATGAATGAAATGTTTTGTCTGTCTGTGCTGAATAGTTTGAATTTTCTCTAAATATGTTGTTTTATGAATGTAATTCTCAAGTCTGCAGTCGGCACGCAGAAATATTTACCTGCGAGACTCTCGCGCAAGACACGAGAAGTCTTGCACGAGACTCGAGACGAGACCAATAAAAGTCTCGTCTCGTCTTGTCCGAGTCTCGTCTCGAGTCTTGTCTCGAAAACGAGACGAGACCATGCGAGACTCTCGAAAACGAGACTCTCGCGGGCACCACTAGTTTTGGTCGTCTGTGGAATAAGCGACGAAGTGAAACTATCTGAAGGAAAAATCACAATTCTATGTTAGATTCAATTTCCTCGAACGGTTGAGGAATTCTAGAATGAAAATACCTGTAGACTTTCCTTGTATTCATCGGATAAAAACGAACTGAAGCGTGTCAACAATAACAAAATAAATTGTGTGGCGTGTATAGCCTCGTTATTTTCCGAAGGAAATTGAAATGTCATAGATGGTGTTTTTAGATTGTAGAGCTTACGTTCACAATATGGAGTATACGTTGTCCGTCCACAATAATTATCATTGGAGACCCTGATTCAACATGAACTCA